TTTCAGTTTTAGAAAATTAGAAAACGTTTAGATGTGTATATTCTATCGATTTTCATTTTTAGAAAATGGTAGCGGTGGTAAGGTGGGGGTGGGGCAGCGGCGGGTGGCAGTGGTGGTGTCGATGATGGCAACGTTGGTGGTGGTGGTGGCGGTGATGACAAGCGGTAGTGGTGGTGGCAGCGGTTATACTGGTGATGGGGTGGTGGTGGTGGTGATGGTGATGGTAGGTCGGTGATAGTAGTAGTGGTGTTGTGTGTGTGTGTGTGTGTTTATGGGGGTGGGTGTGGGTATGGGTGTGGGTGTGTGGGTGGGTGTGTGTTTGTGCAGGTGTACTTGTGAGTGAGGGTTGGGGTGGGTGGGTATTTGTGTGTGTGTGTGTATGTTTGTGGGTGGGGGTTGAGGTGGGTGTCTGTTTATGGGTGTGTATGGGTGTAGGTGTGGGCGTGTGTGTGTGGGTGTGTGTTTGTATGTGTGTGTTTGTGCGGTTGTACTTGTAAGTGGGGGTTGGGCTGGGTGTGTATTTGTGTGTGTGTATATTTGTGGGTGGGGGTTGAGGTGGGTGTCTGTTTATAGGTATGTGTGTTGTGCATGTGTGTGTGTGGGGGGGGGGGGAGGGGGGGTGGGTATGGTTGTGTGTGTTTGTGGTTATGTGTGTTTGGGTGGCTGGGGGGTTGTGCTTGGGAACGGGTGTGGTGGGGTAGAGGTGTTAAGGTAGGGGTGGGTAAATGTGGGAGTGAGAGTGTATTTATATTTTAGAAAAATTTTGGAATTGGAAAAATGTGGAAAACAATAATTATTGGTTTTCCAAAAATTTTCAACTTCTTTGTAATTTTAGAAAACGGAAAATTTTTATTTTCTATGAAAATTTTAGAAAAATAGACGAATTAAACGCGTTTTCAAAATTCTTATTTTTATTGGAAATCTTTTCTGAAAAACGACACATTTTTCCATAACTAAACGCATCATTAGCTATTCATTGCATTCCGTAGCTACGAACCTTGCTAAAAAATATTCACTGAAAGAAATTATCTTGCATAAAACTGTCTGTCAAAAATAACTATCTTACGTCGCTGTATCGCGCAGGTACCCCACTAATATATATATATATATATATATATATATATATATATATATATATATATATATATATATAGAGAGAGAGAGAGAGAGAGAGAGAGTTAGGTTCATGTGAGACGACCTAATTTTGTGAGACCGTGAGACATATTTGTTTTTATTTATTTTTATTTTTTTTTAATTAATTCAAGATCCGAAAATAATATTTAAAAAAAGAATTTTTGGATTTTTCCATTTATTTTGCATTTTAAACTTATCTTTTAAAATATGTACTGTGTAATATTCTATTAGAATATTTCACGTATTTTTCAAAAATAAATGGAATTTTTTTATTATTTTTTTTTTGTTAATTCAAGTTCCGAAAATAATATATATATATATATATATATATATATATATATATATATATATATATATATATATATATATATATTTTTTAGATTTTTCCATTTATTTTGCATTTTAAAATTATTTTTTAGAATATGTTAGTGTAATATTCTATTAGAATATTTCACGTATTTAAAAAAAAAACAGGATTTTTTTTTATTTTTTTTAGTTAATTCAAGTTTCGAAAATAATATTTAAAAAAAGAATTTTTGGATTTTTTCATTTATTTTGTATTTTAAAATTATTTTTAGATTTGGTCTCATGGTCTCACAAAATTAAAATGATCTCTCTCTCTCTCTTTCTCTCTCTCTCTCTCTATATATATATATATATATATATGTATATATATATATATTATATATATATATATATATATATATATATATATATATATATATATATATATATATATATATATATATATATATATATAGGTTCATGTGAGACGACCTAATTTTGTGAGACCGTGAGTCGCAATCCTAGCCACTCATTTAGTAGATAAAACAAAAAAAAAATTAATGAAAAATAATTACAAATTTTCGAATTTTTTTCCAAATATTATTTTCGGAATATATATTTTCCCAAAAAAAAATACCAAAACAAATAAAAAAAATACAAAAAAAAAAAAATACATTCTTTACATATTTTAGTAGAATATTTAGAATATTCTATATATCTGGCAAAGCTAGTAGAATATTCTAAAAAATCTAAAAATTATATTAGAAATGTACGGTGTAATATTCTATTGAAAAAATATCATAAATGGTCCCTGTAGTTTCCCAAAATCTGAAGTTTAGGCCATGTGGTTTAAAAACCTCATAGATGGTCCTTGTGCTTTCTAAACTTTTGACAGATGGTCCTTATCCCTCACACTATTAGAACCCCACTGTTAACTCTTATTTCATTAAAATAATATAAGGGTGAATCGGTCTGTTCACCTATGCCCTCTTCTTTATTGAGGGAAATGATTATGTCACTGTCTTTTTCACGTAAACTCCCAAACACTCTTCATCTCCCAAGAGTACAGTGACTTCGTCTTCAACATATCACTCTCATCCAAGAAACGAAATTGGGGTTTAGGGTTTACACAACACCAAAGGACAATGGTTCTGTCAATATGGTGTTTGCGTGAAAAAAATGCGTGCTTGAAGGACTTGCAATCGAGATACAGTAAGTTTTTTCATAAAAAAAAAACTTAAGTTTTTGTTTTCCTTGAATGTATTCATGAAGATAAATCATCTTCTTTACCCTTTCTATTTTTGTGTTTGTAGAGGGATATGATAACTATTTCACGTTGAAGATACACTATAGTGGTGTCTTCACCAAGTCACTTGGAAGGAAATACGTTGATGGTACCATATCATATGTAGATGACATTGATACTGATATATTTTCAGTCCATGAACTCGATGACATGGTTCAAGAATTAGGGTACAAAGGTGAAGAAAATCTTTAATACCATTTCTGTATCCCTGAATTTCCCTTAGACTACGGGTTATTGCCTTTAGGTAATGATCAAGATGTTCTTAAATTGGTTTCGTATGTCCCTAAACACAGACTTGTAAAGGTCTATATTGAAACTGGTCAAATTAGGGTAGCTAGTTATTTTTAAGTCTCCTTCCAAAGTTGTTATTGAAGAACTGGAACCTGATAGTGTGTCACTGGAACTTAATAGAAAAAAAACTTGTAGAAGAGAAGTAGGATCGTGTAGTAAAAAGCTTGAGTTAGACCACCCTACCAACCATGTTGTTGACCAGTCACAAGTAATAGATATGGATGAAAGTCAGGATCATTCAAAGACTATTGTTCCATATGTTATGTATTAAGTTAGCCAATGAAGTAATGTCATTGATGTGAATGAAGGATTGATCATGGGCCACGTAGAAGAAGTGTATAAGGGTAATTTAGGCAATCTTGCAGAGGAACCAATTTGTGAAGATATTGATGGACAACAAAGTGTAAGAATCGATGAATTTAAAGCATTTATAGATGATTATTCAACTTATGCTGACTTTGATGTTGAGTACAGTGTACGAAATGGTGAAGACAATCAAGTAGAAATTGAAATTCTAAAGGGCATGGTAAGTGATGATAGTGGAGATGCTTTTTATAGTCAGAATGGAGATGGTTCTGATTATAGTGGAGATGATTCTGATGATAGTGACTACATTGTACATAAGTCTAACTTGCAATTTGATATGGATGTAGACATGAGTGAATTCCAAAGTGTCGTGGATGTAGATGAACATTGAAATTAAAACAAGTAAACCGAAAGTATAGGGAATAACATAGTTGATGAAGAGTTGGAAGTTATTCAAAGTGATGATGTAACAATGTAAATTTTCAAAACAAAATTTTCGTTTCTTAAAACATGTTTACCAACCAAATCAAGTCGTAAAATCCAATGCATCATAACATAATACAAATCATGTAAATCCCAAGATCATAAATAAATCTTCCGATAGTGTGTACAGATCATGCCGGCGCCTTCCCACGGTCCTCGCTAGTACCTGAAACACGTAACACAACAACTGTAAGCATAAAAGCTTAGTGAATTCCCCAAAATACTACTTACGCACACACGCCCTTCCAGGCCCTGACCTTCCGGTCTATGTGTCTCAGGGGACTTCTGTCCCGACCCAGTAAACCTTCCAGTCCTACCTGTGTCGACCTTACAGTCCACATCACAACGCCTTCCGACCAATAACATATATGCCTTCCGGCCCATAACATAATGCCTTCCGGCCCATATCAAGCATAGCATACATAGCACATACAAACGGTTAACTTATCATATACAATGCATACAACTCATAGCATATCCAACCTTCCGGTCACACAATAAAACCCTTCCGGGTACAGTATAGTGAGAAAACTCACCTCGTGGAAAGTCTAGAATCTCATGTGCTCGCTATCTCCGAATCTTGAAAGGAAGACCCAACCCCGCCTAATCATAACGAAATATCATTCTAATTAATATAGACTTTCACAACTAGGCTTCACCCTTATTAATATTCCTCAGAGGGGTAAAAGACCATTTTACCCTTCCTTGACTCAAAGTCCACATGTTGACCAAAACCCTAAAAGTCAACAAAAGTCAACATATCACAATACGCGGGGCGTACAGACTTATGTACGCGGGGCGTACGTCACTGATCCTCAATCGGGGTCACCACCCAGTACGATGCGCGTACTGGGAGTTACGCCCAACGTAACACCCAGATTTAGTCACACTACATTTCTGGTCTTAAATGGTTAAGACACTTCTTCAACTTCTAGATCCGACTCACTTTAAGCCTCCTTACCCATAAAGTCGAAACCTTTAAGCCTTGGCATGGCTGTAAAGGCTCCTACACTCCCTAATACCTTTCCTTTTCAACTCAAATGATCTAGATCTCATGCATGGCTAATCATTCACGTCCATGATTACATTTTTATGAACCTATAACTCAAATGAACCAGAAATATGATAGATCTAAGCCAATGGAGACTACTTGCTCATAAAGTCTCCATCTTTGGGACCAAAACCCTAGAAAATGGTCCGTAAAGCATACCACAAGAACTACAAGGCAAGATCTGAACTTTTTACCTTAGGAAGAAGCTCCAACCTTTGCTATTCACGGATCTACACTTGAACACCAACTTCTATCCTCCACAATGGACTCCTCTTCTCTTTTGCTACCTTGAAATGACACCTCAAAGCTTAGAACACTCACAAACAAGCTATGAACGAAGGGACAACTCTCTTAGGGTTTATTTCTGAAGGATGGTGGCTGAGGAATCAAGCCATCTCATTCCTTTTATAGCCAACAACCAAATTTGGGTTTTTAGGTCTAGACCGGTTACGCCCGGCGTAACCTTGGGTACGCCCAGCGTACCCGGGTGATGACGTGATTAAATGAGGCGTGTGAGTATGCGCAGCGTACTCCTTGTACGCCCAGCGTACTCGCCCAACACAAAGGCCCAAAATGACAATTTAACAAAGATCAAGGGCTAATTAGTGGTACCTGAATTTTGGGTTGTTACAGATGATTATCAGTATGCAGGATTTTAATAAGATGAAAGGACAAAAATGCTTAAGGAATTGAGTAGGTCAACTGCATGCTCACATGGGGAGATCCATTTAAAACCATATAGGGTGGGGAAGTGTTTCAAAACAAAGAAGGAAGTCGTGGACTACATGCTGTAAATACAAGGATGTCCCTATACTTAGCAACAAAAATGATAAAATCAGGATAAGGGTCAAATGTGGAGGTGTTGTGGGCCAATCTACTGAAATAGTTTAATGTGGTGGGCCATCAACTAGAAGTAAGGTAAAGTGCAAGGGACAATCTATTGAAACAGTTGAATGTAGTGGCCCATCAACTAGAAGTAAGATAAAGTGCAAGGGAAAAAATGTGATTAGTAAAAAAGAAAATTTCCTTGGGCGGTCCAAATCTCGAGGCCAGATGAGAATAAAGATTGGTTGGTGAAAACAATACACGATGTCCATAAATGTTTACAGACAAGATCAGTTAAAGCTTGTACTTCCAAATATTTAGCAAACTTAATTGTTCCACAAATTCCGAGTAACCTTAAAATTCCAGTCAAAGCTTTACACGAGGAGTTGTGTAAGAAGCTGAAGCTTGATATGTCAGTTCAAAAGGTTGCTAGGGCAAAGAAAATGGTTGAACGTGTGATTAGTGGGGACTACCAACTTCAATGTGGGTATCTGAGGGATTATGGTTTGGAGCTGCTAAACACTAATCCTGGTTCAAAGCTGGGTTAAGGGCTTTCCTAGGAGTTGATGGTACATTCTTGGACCTGGTTCATGGAACTGTTAGGAGAAGACTTAGAATTGGGAGCAAATTCAAATTTTACCTTCATTTCTGATAGACAAAAGGTATGTTTTACCTAATTATTTCTCATGATAGTGTACCTTACTTTCTATTTTTATAAATGAAACTAACTATATTTGCATTTGTTAAGGTGATAATACCAGCAGTTGCAAAGGTATTCCCCAATGAAGAACATAGGTTTTGTTTGAGGGATATTTAGGAGAATTTGAAGAAACAATAGAAAGGAAAAGAGTTGAGTGACTTGGTTTGGGAATGTGGTAGAGCAACAACATTAAATCACTTTATATATGCAATGGACGAGTTGAAGAAAATGAATGATGAAGCTCATTCTTGGTTGTGTAAGATTCCTGTAGAGACATGGTCTAAATCTCACTTCAGTGGTATGTTATTTAGAGGTTGTTGAGTTTTATGTTTTAATATAAAATTTGTAATTTCTCTTTTTGAATATGTTTTTCACAGGTAGGGCACACACTGATTTTTTGTTGAATAATCTTTGTGAGGTATTCAATGCTAATATAGAGGGAGGTAGTGATAAACCAATCATCACCTGCTTAGAGTATATTAGAGAGTATCTCATGAAGAGATTGTGTGTTGTGCAAAAGGAAATAGATAAGTGTCAAGGGGAACTAAGTACTATTGCAACTATAATTTTAGAGGAGATTAAGACTCAAGCAGCAAAGTATGTAGCTAAGTATAATGGGGCAGGAAAGTACCAAGTTGCAAGCACATGGCAGGATCAGTATGTGGTGAACCTAAATGAAAGAAGTTGCACTTGTAGGTTCTAGGAGATTACAGGTTTTCCATGTAGGCATGCTGTTTCTGCTATATGGAACAAAATTGAAAATGGAGAAGATGCCCCTGATGTTGAGGATTGGGTCTATCCTTGCTATAAGTTATCAACATGGAAAGCCATGTCTCTGAACAAAATTGATCTAATAAATGGTCGTTCAATGTGGTCAAAAAGTGATTGTCCATTCACTTTAACTCCACCAAAACATCACACAAAGGTTGTTATGTCAACTAGGCTAGATGTGTACTTTTAATGCCATCATGTATGTTTATGTTTTAAATATAATAAATGCATATGTGTAGGTTGGGAGGCCAAAAAAGAAGAGAAGGAGAGGTGTTGATGAGCCCAACAGCCAAACCACTAAATTGAGCAGGAAATTTCTTGCAGTCATATGTTCAAAGTGTCATAACAAGGGGCACAATTCCAGAACATGTAAAGGGCAGGGAGGCATTGGTGAAGTTGGATAAAAGGGGAAGACATAGGGAAAGGGGAAGACACATGCAAAGGGGAAGACACAAGGAAAGGGAAAGGGGGTTGGAAATTCTGTTAAGTAGTTAATTGGATGTTTTGGTAGTTAGGTCTTTTGAAACTTGAATTATGGTTTGGCTGTTTAAATTATGGTAATTAGGTCTTTTGTAATGTTTGTATGGGTTAAGACCTTCCATCAGTAATTATGTTGAAACTAAGTGTCATGTTTAAACACAGACTTGTAATGATTTTATCAACATTTTGCTTATGAATTACCCTCTCCAAACCTTTCTCAAAAAGATGCATGTATAACAATGTAGATTTGAACTACCATTCCTAAGCATTTGCAAGATGCAGTTATATAAATGTATCATACGAAAATGCACATCAAAACCACTGATTTATAACAAAATATATAATCATCATTTCCATTAACTTAATGTGTTACACTTCATACAACAAAATGAAACCAAAAATACCCATTCCATCACAATCCAAAACCCCCAGAACTAGTTAGATACGTACAAAAGAAACCAAAAACCTCCCATCCTATTACCATCCAAATCCTTAAACCACCTTACTGGTTAAAAAAAAACAAAAAAAAACATCCATGAACAAAACAACATCAGCTGATAGTTCCACAGTTCTGCACTTGCAATTGCAACCTTCTATTCCAATCAATTCATTGATCTTATCAAACCTGGAATCACCACCAATGCCCTAACACACATCGGAGGGTCAACCCACCTTACGAACCCACATCTTGAACAATTCAAAAATTGCCTTCATGGGTTACGATCCGTCCATGAAGTCAACTTCGTTGTTTACATTCCACATCTACAAATCACCATCTTCGACACTCGCATAATTCGTTTTGCAATTGGATGCACAGTAGAATGAGAGTAGAAGAGGGTGGGTGCGAGAAGGGTTTTCAAAGTATTAGACATGCATTTGGTTACAAAGAAGAGTGCATAGGTGAAAAGACCGATTTGCCCTTATATTATTTTAATGAAATAAGAGTTAATGGTGTGGTTCTAATAGTGTGAGGGATAAGGATCATCTGTCAAAAGTTTAGAAAGCACAAGGACCATCTATGAGGTTTTTAAACCACAAGGCCTAAGCTTTAGATTTTGGGAAACCACAGAGACCATTTATG